ATGAATGTCAATCAATCGTGAAATCTATACATACTATGTTTGATATATATTAAATCATATTACTAAATTTAATAATTCAAGATATAAACCTATGTTCGTTTTTATGTATGGAATGGCACTAACTGAAAAACTAATCTTTGCCGAGCAGATCTTGTTTTTTGCCCATTGAATGCTAAATTCGTTAACCGGAAAATGCTGTCACAATTTCAATTAATTGATGTTTATTTGAAACCTGTATGCAAATTTAATGGTACAGCATTGTCTAATTTTCAACATGCGACAAATAGTTTAAAGTATATGCACGTATCATATGACAAAACTTTACAATTATTGTAAATATTTACGTTTAAAAGTGAATGTGCTGTACATGTTGAACAAAGGGTCATGCTATATAATCAGATATTAATATTTGGTTCTTTACTTTCTTTTGAAGTAAACAAGTAAACCTTCCTGATTAATCTCGGCCCGTTTTGTTCACTCTAGTAACAGACAATATGTCTACATTTCACAATGATTATCAATAAATGCCAATTAATCTTGATATATGATATGTCTATACTATACACATTTGAATAAAACAACTATATCTAAGCAGCATTGTTGAAATTATATCATCGAGTGAATCTATGTTATACACCAAGTAATCAGTTTTTTTTTGGAATTTTAACATTCTTTAATTCTTTTCTACGGAAACAGTTCGATATAAATGTACTTCAGCTATATTGAGGGATTCCACAAGAAAATCAAAGGAGCATAAAAATAATTTCTTTTTGCCAGTTACGAAAGATATCTTTAAGTTAAATAAGTAACAAATATTAAGGCCTAGACACATCAATCATCAAATTAAGATGATATTTGATTCGAATAATTTATAGACAAAGCTTTTAACAGAATTTAGTAAGACATTGAAAGTTTTATTTGCAGATCGCTTCGGAAAACATATATTAAGTTTGCAAAATTCCTTTAAGATTCCTTAATCACCTGATAACATCACATTAGCTAAAACAATCAGATTGCAACTTGTTTGTTGTGTAAAGGCGCTTAACATGAGACAATACACATGTAAAAGTACATAAAAATATGTATTGTTTATATTATATAGGAAAAAGGGGGAAATCATGTGATTTATATTAAACCAAAAACTGCTCAAAAGAAAATGTAACATATGCATTACGAAATATTAGAAACAATATTATAATAAACATAATTTAACAGGATTAAAACAAGCAAAACTGTTTGTTTTTCATGAGCCCGCTTTAGGCCATTCTAATGGAAACAACCTGAGGATTTGTAGCAAGTTATAGTTATAGTAGATATATCCTAGTTCTACAAGGTGGTCATATTAAGTTTTATAAAGTAACAGACACGCAAATGGAATTTCTTAATCTATTTCGCAGCTGTCAAAACATTGGTGATTGAATTATCGACGACTGTCATATAACACTAAAGATCTCGTTTCGCATAGGTCTAAATAGTAGTATTGAAAAATAGTTTTAACTTATTTGTCATAATCATTATAGCCCTATTAATTTATAAAATGTTATTCATTGTCAGTTGGAAAATCCCAGTTACATGTATAAAGTTTGTTTTATGTTGCATTTCTCATGATCATAAACCGAGTGACATTTCGATATTCAGGATCAAGGGAATGTTTGAAACACTACATTTATTTTCTTATTTTCATTTGATTTTTACTATCAAAAGAAAACACAATTTTGGCTAATGAATATATTAGTGCCAAATTGCCTATTTTATGTCAATTTAAAAATTCCTGATACCTTTTCACCTTCATATTTAAACGATTAAACATAAAATGTAGCGTTACATCCTTACTACAAAATGTCACAGCTTTATCAAACGAACATAATTACTGAGGAATGCGGATTACACTTTGTTATATACGCGTTATTAATACAGACGGATCTTAAAGGATTACGTAATTAAATAATCTCATTTTCAGACTGTAAATGAAAAATACTCTTATGGTTCTTTTTTTCTATCAACCAGAATTATAATGAGCACTTGTTTATTGTGGCTTTTTCTTTTTGAAAAATAAACGAATTGTTTTTTAAACATGGCGACAAACAATCTTGTTTCAATTATATTTTAAGATTGTCAAATATCAGTGTATTTAATGGATACACAGTAATTGAACATATCTGTTATATATAACTGCACAGTCATACATTTATTTATATGTATATGCAGAAAAGTTTTTATGACCCTAATGGGCACTATAAGGAACTGAAAAAAATATATCATAGGCCACTTAAATCATTAAAAGGACATCTGTATGCAATTTTTAAACCAAATATACCGTGCGGTTAAAGAGTTAAAAACTCTTTCCTGAACTAAAACTTCAGAAATAATAAAACTCTAAATAGTCTATAACATCAACCTTTTGCAAATTGTTTTGCAAACCAAACTACAAGATTAATTGAACAAATTACACAAGCAAAATTATTTTTACTGTTAATTCTTTTTAAAATATATATCAAAATGTGACCGTCACTCGTCCATGTCGTCCATCTTAAAAGCTTGTTTGGTTGATTTTTCAATTTTTTCTACGTGTAGTTTGGATTTGATTAGATTTTGAAAATATTAGGTTCAATCATTGTTACTAAATGTGCATTTAAGCCAATACGTAAATACTTATATCACATAATTAAAAGAAAGTAAATGTTTTTTCCTTTCAAAAAGAATCTAAGAGAAACATAAACAAATAATGTAAATAGATACCAACGAGACTCAGTTTTGACGCAGTTCGCAGTAATTATAGTATATTTAATACCCTTTAAAGTGGAGGTAAAACATCAGGAGTATTCTACCTTAACGGTATTAAAATATATTTTGATTTTGTTGTACCTGTTAACATGACATTTTCGTTTTTTGTCGTTGAATGTATTATTACTTGACCGTAATAAGTAAATGATGATATTGCCCATTCCCGGCGATTAAAACAACAGATGTGCATTTGTTATGAATAATCTTCTATGGTAGGCAGAATAATATCACATATAATTTTCCATTAAACCACAGGACTTTGTAGATGCAGCAACATTTTTGTTTCAGTAGTATCGGCACTATAAGCATAAATGAACATTCATATGTCATTATAAACAAATTAAACTATTATAGTGTATAAAAATAGTTTAATGAATAATACCACATCGAAAACGTTACCTTTGCAATCATTAATAACTCATAAATACTATTCTGAAAGAAGCTCAGGCATAAAAGAATCAACTCTATCAAAACAATTACAATTCATTTTTTGTCCCGCAAAACGAATTCAATACAATGTATTCTTGTTACAATTTCAATACTTTGACGCAAAATTCACTTATTATATCTGCTTTATATTCCCCCCAAACTGCCATCATTTAAGGCTCAATAGAGACAACATCGGGTTACTAATCCAAGGATCGCTGATTCGATCCTCTGGCGGCGCGTAATTTCTCCGTGTCAAATGATCTCGGACATAAGTCTAATCATCGCTGTTTCAGAAATCATGTGGGATTAGTATTCGGTCACTTACGGAGAAATTGCTAGTTTCTGGTTAGTTATACAGGAAACTTTCTTAGCTGGATCGACAGTCCGGATATGATTTACAAAACACAGAAAAATAAGCAAACAAATAGTATCTGTTCTTGTTTCTAATATATGTTTTCTGAGCCCCTGTGTAAACTGTATCCGCTGTATATTATCCTTCTTTTATCACAGTAAGTATATAAATATAAACAATTGCTTCATGAACTGCCAGTTCACATGAGAAATTTGCCGAGTATACAATATTTTGATTTTAAGGAAAATATTCTTTGGACTGTGAAGAGACAAAAAGGTTTTATCTTATATCCTTTTATGTTTTATTATGACTTTAAAAAAATTGAAATGAAAAAAGAAAAATAATTAGATAAAAAATTTATATTTACATACAGGAGTGAAAAACAAAATAAATACGATCCCTATGTTTATAATTAACTTTAAGATATCTTTATATTTGTCAAAAAGGATATAAAGGCACATTATGCCTCATAACGATATAATTTTACATACTTTGCATTAGAAGAGGCACACAGTCACGTATTTAAATGATGTTTTAATACTATTAGAAATTTGAAAACAAAGCAGCTTAAGAAGGTTTATATATCGCTGAATGTGATATAAATTGTTATAAAGGTTAACAAAATGTACACAAATGCTATTTTGACTTCCATATTTTGGCACTAAAACTGTGCCAATATCCAAAAAGCAAACGAAGCAATAGATGGTTTCGCTTAAGACTGAATGAGAACCTTTTTCCGATATTGTAACAGGAAATTATAAGTAACATTTTGAAAATAAGAGTATTGTGGGGCATAATGGTCCTTTGAGATTATTTCAAACGTTTCATTGAGAATTATCATTGTATATAAAATAAAACTCGAACATTGTGTGCGTGTGTCTTCATTTCTTTTTTTCTTTTCTTTTCTTTTTATTGTGTCTGTGATTTTTTATGGTTTTTGATTGTATACTGTTTAAATGGATGCGCAATTATACTTAACATTTTTTGTGAAAACGGGTTCTCAAAAGCCTATCTTAAACAGTCAATCAGAACAAAACATCTATCAGGGTTCAAAATTAAAATAGAATTTTGATTTTTAAATGTCTATGCAGAGTTAATAGCCGGTTGAAATGGTGAAGCGAGAATATTTATCATAAGATACATTTGTATTTATTTGTTTTGTTTTTAGTCTGTCGATGATGCAGGGATGGCAGACGGTGAGTATCATTTCAAGTTTTCACTTTTGAATGTTCTTCTTACATAGCATCAAACATTTTGCAAAATCAAGAGATGGGCAGTTATTCAAATATTGAATCCCAGAATCCCATTACCCGTCGTTTATGTTGTAAAATTAAATTGTTGAGTATATAGATAAAAAGATATTACGTCAAAATAATTGATATAAACACTTGCACTTTTTATAGCAACTGTTAAATTGTACGTAAAAATATTTCAGATTGTTTTGGCCTTAATTATTGTTCAGAATGTTGAGTGTAGACCACCGTTCGGAAAACATTGTGGACCCGGTTTAAAGGTACATTTTTTTAATATAAGATATATATTAGACAATAACAATTGTGTTTTTATATGAACAAGGCAGTTTGAAGGACAACTAAATCCCCTTCCGCATTGGACATGAATGTGTACTTCTTGACCTGTAACCAACCATGACCTTGATGTTGTGCCATGCTTATCATAAGCACTTTGTTTAATGATGATGATTATTTGTGCCAATTTATCTAGACGTTTCCATGAAGTCAAATATTTACGGAAAACACTTTACCTTGACCTTGGCGGTAGCAACGTGCATGTAACTGGGGGATAGCAACCTGGATGTTGTTCTATGCAGATTGTGTCATGCAGGGTATCATTTGTGCCAAGATATTTGAAAACCATTGAATTGTCAATAGTTTATAGAGCGGACATGAAATACATAGTTTAACATTGGACTTTTGAGTGTGATTCTGACCTTCCTTGAGCGTAGTGACTTGATTGCTGTGCTCTGCACATGATGTCAACAAGATGATCATTTCTGCCAAGTTATCATAAATACATTTAGCTGTTTAAATGTTATGGAGAGGACACGAATTGTAGACTTTTTAAGACTTGACCTTAAAGTGTGACCTTGACATTGGGGGTAGCAACCCAATTATTGCGCTTTGCACATCGTCTTACAATGATGATCACTTGTGCCGAGTTATTTTTATTTTTTATTTACATGTTTAAAAGTTATGGAACGAACACGATCACTTGTGCCAAGTTATTTAAATAATTCAGTGGTTTAAAAGATATGGAGCGGACTTGTTACGAATTGTTAGGACGGACAGACGGACGGACAGACTGATAGACGGAGGAAGTTTCTATTATTCTCCTACCGCTTTGCGGAAAGAGATTAATAAATAGTTAAATGGAAGAGGTTTTATTTATATTTTACTGTCTTAAAGTTTGCCGTGCCATAATAATTTGATGTCAAAACAAACGTTGTTTATTATAGTGTCCAGAAGGAAGTGTTTGCCGGAGACCAGGATTTGGACGAGCAAGTGAAAAAGCGAGGATGAAATGCTATCCCAGTGAGTAACTAAATATTTAACTTAAACAGCTATTGTAACAGAAAATATAACGTTGGACAATCTTCAAAGGTATTAAAGAATGTGCTTCATCTGCTCTTTGTGACATCACAGTTACTGATATATAACTAAATTGGTGTTAATGACAACGCATCACTTTGGAAATGATACAGTTTTTATATGAATATTTTCTATTATAAGGCATGTGAGTTTTATCTATATCTTTCTTCAAAACATATTCCAATGACAAGTAAGCGAGATCAACGTTCAGGTATGTTTGATAATAATGCATTGATTCTCTATGATATGTGATTACATGTTTATATAAAAAGTATTCATAAGCGTTAATTTAATGCTTCGGACAAAGCCCCAAACTTTATGCTCGACTGTTAAAATTTTAGTGTAGCTTGCCTACAATCACCTTTACAAATACTTTTTTTGTGAAAATCGGAAATAGATCCCACGGAAACAACAAAACAACACCACAATGGCCACAATTGGTTTGATTGAGTCTGTTCATGAGAGGAAATGCAAACGTGGCAACATCTCACACAAGTTCAAAAGTACCGGTTTAAGCTATGTTCAATGTTTAAGACTAAAAGTGTGCTGGATTCATAAACACATTTTGAGGTTTGGCGAACTCATTAAAACTGAAAGTATTTCTTTGAACATAATACTAAGACAATGCAAAACCAGGACTTTGACATTTTAAAACTCGAAAAGGTTTCTTTTTTGTAAATCTATTCAAATAAAAATGAATTCCAGACTTTGTATTTAGCTCTTGGTATGTTCCACCTTTTCCGGTCGCTTTCAGGTACTATGGTACAGGAACAGGGTCAGTGGGACCTTTCATGAGAAAACATTACATGAAACATTAATTCAAGCAAAAACAATGACTGCAGTTGCACCATTTATTTACTATAAAATGACCAGGATAAGGACATTGGATCTTTTAATAAGAACACATATACATGTTATGAAAAGGGACGTCAAACTTTGTATGTAGTTGCACAATTGACCATTGTACCTACTATATTTTTTCATGTCAGAAGGTCAACATGAAATGTCATGGTTACCAAAACCTGTGTAACAAAACATAAAAGCGGCCGACAGCATTGACTTAAGAACTTTATACGTTGTATTTAGATACACCGTAATGAGTGCACATTGCCCAGCATCAAAGGGACCTGTAACGAAAACATAAGTTAGGCCACTATATCAAAGTTATTTGATCTAGGAACTTCATTGTTTTTGTTTTGTGGCTGTATCTAAATAATTAGTATTAGTCACATCCATTTGCAAATAAAAAAGGTCAACGTTCAACATTACTTGCACTTGTTATAACAATTAAACATAATTCTGGCTAATGTAATAAAGTATATTAACATATGAAACTTAGAATTGTGTTTGTACCTGCAGATGTATCTGGATATTTGCATGATGTATTAGAATAAATTTTCAAAAGGTCTAAGTAAGATCAATGTAACCTTGAACTTAAACTATCCGTTTATATAGAAAACGTGAAGTTTAAATCACTTTGATTGTGGAGAGTGCTGCTCTTGTCAAAAACGTTCAAAACGTAACAGTAAATATTACAAGATATGTTTTTTGTTTTTTTAGTTACTGATGTCAATTACTGTAATCCAAATCCATGTCAAAACGGCGGCACGTGCATTGATGGAGTCAATGATTACACGTGCACGTGTGTTGTTGGTTTCAGAGGAAATAATTGCGGAACAAGTTTGTAACTTTTCATACAAATACAGACTATATTAATATATGTGTCAAATACTTAGAAAGTATCATTAATTTGACTATGTAAAACGTTTCATAACACTCACAATTTTGAAACCGGTAATTTTTTAAAAACTTAACTTGACAATACACTTTTGGCATATAAATCTAGTAATTAGCATGCTTGTATATAGTAAACTTAAAAGACACAGCACTGCTTATCTTTTCATAGTTTAGATTACGGTTTCTGTCAAAAATAATTGTGGAACTAATCTGTAATTATTTTCAAAATAATAAATATCCTGTTTATTCTAAAGCAGATTGATCGAGTATTGAAAATATATCAAAAACGAGACATGTAGGAATTTTAGATAATTATGTTATTGCATATATGTTACTGCAATGAACAAAACAGTACATAACAGAGATACTTCTTGAATTGTAATTGATTATTTCAAAGGCAAACATGAAGAAAGTACAAAGAAAATAGTTCCTGTATTTTTTCAAACAAGAAATAAAACTGTTAACTTTTTTCTACTATACATAACAATATTCCTAAACGTAAATGTATAATATATTATATGCGATGGAACGAAACAGGAATAGATCCTAATCATAAAAGTATAATATGTATTGAACACAGAAGATGCTTTCTTTTCTATAGATATAAATGAGTGTGTTCCAAATCTTTGTCAGAACGGAGGTATCTGTAGTGATGGTATCAATGATTACACGTGCAACTGCCCTGATGGTTACAGAGGGAAAAATTGTGAAATAGGTGTGAAACTCTATGACAAATTTGTCAAATACTTTAAGAGTATCATAAACGAGACTTCAAATGAGTAAGAACACTTATGGTTTTGAAAGCGATAAATTTAAATAAAGGAACTTGACAAAGGGAGGTATTGGATGCTTTTTTACGAAAGGCAAACATATTAAGTTGCAAGAACGATACATATACTCGTACCCATGTTTAAAATGCAAACATTTGTATGGTCGCTTTTACACACTTCATAAGATCCATACATTTGCATTGTAATCTATTGAATATCGTGATAAAGAGCAAAGTCAGTTAGATAGGGAAAATAAATAATAATAAAGGATAAATATTAAGTTGTGTATGACTTTTCAAGCTACAAACAAAAATGAAGTCGATCTTACATTTCTTCAAATATTTATTTTCTCATTTCAAATCTGCAAGTTCTTTGAATTAAAATGCACTTCTGTATCAGGCAGACCATTAAGCTTAATTCGTTGTCGTTTCTTATTACATTTTAAACTGAAATATAAAACTAATGCAATCTTCTATTGGCAGACAATTAAAACAAGTATTAAGGTTTAGATTATTTTTACATGCAAGTGCTTTTATTATTTATTTGTTATTTAAACAAACATTTTAAGTGATGAAAGCAATACGTAAATGGGTTTAATCAGAAAAAGATACAACCATTGTTCGAATTTTTACATTCTTTCTAGTAAGTGGTCTTAGCTGCATGTTTGATTGCTAAATAGGCTAACTTATAATTACAACACACACTTCTAGGGAAAATATTCTTATAACAACATGTGTGTTTAAATATTTATAATAAGTGTTGTTTTTTATACCTAGATATTGATGATTGTAATCCAAATCCATGTCAGAACGACGGCACGTGCAATGATGAGGTCGGCGATTACAAATGCGACTGTGCTGATGGTTTCTCTGGGAAAAATTGTGAAACTGGTTTGTGATTATGCTAAAATATATGCATTATTATAAAACAAAACGAGACATGTAAGACTTATAATGGGGTCAATTATCATATATTTGTAAAGGAAAATTTCATCCCATAATAGAAACGGACTGACAATAAATACAAAAGTAGATATTTCGTGCATTGCTTTCCAAACTTCAAACAAACATTTAGACAGTTAACTCTGTTACAAAATTATAATTCTTTGCCGAAAGGATGGCACTCTAATAGACACGTACGAATGTTAAGTAGGAAGTTCATAAAACTTAATATCCGTGGCCGTTTCTTTTTACATTTTAAACTGAAAAATAAAATTCCTTTTCAACTAAGGCAAACTTCGATTGTTGGCTCACAAATAAAACAAGTGTTAAAGTTTGATTATTTTTACATGCAAGTGTTTTTAATATTTATTTTTTTACTCTTTTTTTTTAAACAAACATTTCAAGTTATGGAATCGAAACGTAAATGTGTATTATGAGACAGAATTCAATCATTGTTGGAATTTTTACTTGCTTTCTAATAAGTGGTCTTAGCTGCATGTATGATTGCTAAAGAGGCTAACTTATAATTACAACACACGTCAAGGGAAATTATTCTTACAACATGCTATGAATATTTATAATTAGTGTTTTCTTTTTATCAGATATTGATGATTGTGATCCAAATCCATGTCAGAACGACGGCACGTGCACTGATAAGGTAAACGATTACACGTGTAACTGTGCTAATGGTTTCTCTGGGAAAAATTGTGAAACTGGTAAGTAATTTTGCTAAAATATAAATGTTATTTTAAACCTATACATGTATCAGATTTGTTCATAATGATTATTAAAATGTAGGATAAACGAGACATGCAGGACTGTTAATAGTGTCAATAATCATATATTTGTTAAACAATTGCGTTGTTTAAGAATGTTATTTTTATGTTGGTCTATGTCATTTCATATTAGAAACGGACTGACAATAAAGACAAAAGTTGATATTTCGTGTATTGCTTTCCAAATTTCAAACAAACATTTAGACAGTTAACTCTTGTACAAAATTATTATTCTTTGCCGAAAGGATGGTACTCTTATAGACACGTACGGATGTTAATTGTATCAATAAATTAGTTGCATTTAATATCATTTTAATACTATGCCATTAAAGAATAATCATTTAAGAAGGAAAGAAATATCCTTTAATGTATATAAATGTATCCTTTTATCAGATATTGATGATTGTGATCCAAATCCATGCCAGAACGACGGCACGTGCAATGATAAGGTCAACGATTACACGTGTAATTGTGCTGATGGTTTTTCAGGGAAAAATTGTGAAACTAGTTAGTATTGTCCTATAAATTTAACGTCATATTCGCTTTTATAAGTTTTTTCCACTATTTTTAGTGTACCAAAAAATACAAAATGAAGGAATGTAAATGTGTCAATAGATATATATTTGTAAAATAGGCAAATTCATTCAGTTCAAAGGCAGGAACTGACAAAAACTACGAATACAAGATTTCCGATGTTGCTTTTCAAACTTCAAACACGACATTTAATGTTCTTAAACGTAAATGTATATGTGAAATAAAACACGGAAGAGCTATTTTTTTCTTCAAATATAGATGACTGCGGTCCTAATCCTTGTAAGAATGACGGCCCGTGTAGTGATATCATATTCAGATGCTCGTTGATTAGTTATTTTTTCTGGGTTTCAGATTGTGACAACAGGGAACGTATTATTATGTTTGACTATGATACAAAAGGGAAAAACATCAAAACACTCGGCAATCTGATTAATACTAGGGGGAGTGGGGGGGGGGGGGCTACGCCCCCTCGTACAAATCAGATAGCCTCGTGTTTCGATGCTCTTTCTATTACGTGTTTCGATGCTCTTCCTATTACGTAATTTAAAATACAGTGGTAACACGAGACAATTTGTTAGGAAGAAAAAGAAACTTTTGTTTTATATATATCCTTTTTATCAGATATTGATGATTGTGATCCAAATCCATGCAAGAACGACGGCACGTGCAATGATGAAGTAAACGATTACACGTGTAACTGTGCTGATGGTTTCTCCGGGAAAGATTGTGGAACTGGTTAGTACGTTTACTATAAAATGAAGTCAAATTACACTTTTATCAGAATTTTCCACTATTTTAAGTATACCATAAATGAGAAATGTAGATGTTAATGTGTCAATAGATATATATTTGTCAAATAAGCAAACTCATTCAGTTAAAAGGCAGGGAAGGACAAAAAGTAAGAACAAAATATTTTCGACATTGCTTTTCAAATTTCGATAAGGAAATTGAATTTTTTTAAACGTAAATGTCTACATGTAATGAAACACGGGATTTACTTTTTTTCCTACAGATATAGATGACTGTGTTCCAAATCCTTGTCAGAATGACGGCACGTGTAAAGATGAGGTCAATGATTACACGTGCACCTGTGCTGCTGGTTTCACAGGCGAAAGTTGTGAAACAGGTTTGAAATTTTGCTAAGTAATCGGTACCATTTTTTCCACTTAACCAAATATAATAAGTATCAGCAACGATATATGTACGCATGTTAAATGTCCCAAAATGTGTATGGTCGCAATAACAAGAAATTTATTATTTGCATTTGTATCTGTTAAATACCATGTAAATAGGGAACGGAATGGAATTATCATTTTTTGAATATTCAGTTATTTTTTATCAGATATTAATGATTGTGATCCAAATTCATGTCAGAACGACGGCACGTGCAAGGATGAAGTCAACGATTACACTTGTAACTGTGCTGATGGTTATTCCGGGAAAAATTGTGGAACTAGTCAGTAATTTTGCTTACAGGTGTTTGCCATATTACAATTAAAGCAGATTTGACCGCTATTATAATGTTTATATTCAATGGTAAGGGAGGATGTTTTTTTTTCTAAAAAATATAAATGACTGTGATCCAAATCCCTGTAAAAACGCCGGCACGTGTAGCGATTATATGTATGATTACTCGCGCAACCGTCACGCTCGTTTCAAGGGGGGGGGGGGTCGTGAAACAAGTTTAAAATTTAAAGAAGTAATGAAAACGATATATACACTTATGTTACACAAAATATTTATTGCTTGTATTGTAATTCTAATAAAATCGTTGCAAAACAGGACAGTCAGTTCTAAAATAAAAAGAAATAAGTGTCAGTTGGTATATTCTGTTATTTTTTCTTATCAGATATTGATGATTGTGATCCAAATCCATGTCAGAACGACGGCACGTGCACTGATGAGGTAAACGATTACACGTGTACTTGTGCTGATGGTTTCTCTGGGGAAAATTGTGGAACTGGTTAGAAATTTTGCTAACCAATCATTTTTCTTATTACATTTATAGCAGATTTTACCACTATTTAAAATGAACCAAAAGCGAGACATGAAAGAATGTTAAATGTGTCAAAAGACATTTATTTTTGAAATAAGCGAATCCATTGAGTTCAATGATAAAAAGGACAAAAAGTACGAACAAAAGATTTACTTATTGCTTATTTACTTATAACTTCAAACAGAAATTTTAACGTTTTTAAACGTAAATGTATATATGCAGTGGACACGGAAAAACCTTTTTCCTAAAGATATAAATGGCTGTGATCCAAACCCTTGTCACAGCCGCTGTATGTGTAGTGATTTAATAAATGATTACACGTGCAACCGTCTTTAAGTTTCTAGAGGGAGAAACAGGTTTGAAATTTTGCAAATTAATGGATACAATTTACCACTGACGGCATATTCATAAAGTATCCGAAACGATATATACACGCATGCTTCACAACGTATTAATTATTAGTGCTGTAATGTATTTAGTACACTGATAGGAAGAAAACAAGTTGTGGGTATATGCTGTTATACTTTTATCAGATATTGATGATTGTGATCCAAATCCATGTCAGAACGACGGCACGTGCACTGATGAGGTAAACGATTACACGTGTAAATGTGCTGATGGTTATTCGGGGGGAAATTGTAAAACTGGTTAGTAATGTTGTTAAAACAAAATGTTATATTATAATTTTACTCGATTTTCCACTTAAACCCGAGACATTAAGTTTGTTTTGAATAGGTCAATAAAAGTTTATCAAATTTTATAAAAACAAACATAACATTGGATAACTTAAAAGACCCCACATTTAAGATGTAGATTTATCGAAACCATTGCATATAAGGGCAGAGAGAAATGATACCAATTTTCCGTTTTGCTTTTCAAATTTTAATTAAATCAGAATCTGACACGGTTTAATATTTCTTAACAAAAACATTTTCCTTTTACGTATTCGCATAATACAATGACCACAGGATATGTGATTTGTTTCTCCAGATATAAATGACTGTGATCCTAATCCTTGTCAAAATGGCGGTACGTGTAGTGATGGTGTCAATGATTACACGTGCAATTGTCCTTCTGATTTTACAGGGGAAAATTGTGAAATAGGTGTGTACTTTTGCAATTGGTTGAGTATATATTTTATTAATTTAAGGCTAATAACATCAAAAACATCGTATATTACTTAAGTATCTACACATTTAATGTAATGTACTACATCATTTTATTTAATTTAATATGTTTTGTTATAATCCATGACGAACCATGGTAGTAAATGAGAGATGATTTGAAAAGGAACAAAATCGAGAATGGCTTTTAAAAATTCAAACAAATACTCATACTGATTTACTAGTTTTAAAAATACATAATTATTTATGTTAAATAAGTCATTTGCTTGTATTTAGATGCAGTTTTGTAGTAGCACGTAATGTGAGTTTATATGTGTCTTTCCGTCCGTATTGGTAACTTTACACAGTTATTACAGTATAAGTGTCAGTATGACAGCATAATTTTATGTATATATGAGATCAACATAAATGGTTTATCAATATCAAGTTCTTGACATCAGATATAGATATTCAGATCAAATGCATTTTAACTAATGTCACAGAACCATGCAAATAAGTTAAGTATGCTGTTTTGTAGGAATACTGTATGGATTTTGTGTCATTTGTCTTTCATAGCTACCTGTAGAATTTCAAGTCACTTGAAGAGTATCAGAAGTATGATCGGTACTCATACAGTTGTGTCAATGAAATTAGTTTAATATAGACAACATGCAGAATAAATTTTAAGAGTGTACTTGTGTATTTTGAAATTTATGTAATCTAATGAAGAAACAATCCGCTTTAAGTTAGAGCATTTGTTCAAGATGTACAAACAAGTCATTTAGTTTTTTTATTTCTGTTTAAGACCTAGGTCCGCCAACGTGTACCCGAGACAATAGCTGTGATCTTTCAGCCGCAGCTTGTAGTTCAACTAGTATTGGTAAGATTTTGTTATAGTACATATTTTAACTATCGTAACAGATTACTTTCTAAGCGGAAGTATATTTTAAGTGCATTTGCATATCCAAAATAATCGACGGATTTGGATTTTAAAAAATACAGTGATTGTTTAATTGTCACGTTATCAATAAATTTAATTAAATTATACTTTATACACAATATTATGTATTTTTATAGACTGTTATATCGATGAGGAAGATAAGGTTATTCCGAATACTTGGTCAGACGTGTATGAATTGTTAGATAAAAATGTTGCCACGCCAGCGGAGTGCCGGGCTATTTGCCTTTCGTATACAGGGCCTCGTTGTGTCGCGTATTCGCATAACCCTGCATCCAAAAAATGTTTTCTACACAGTTTCACTCCCTCGGAGGGTCTTGTTACAAAACAAAAGGGTGCCATGACATTATTCGTTCTGAGATGCAGAGAGTGTTAAAACATTTCAAAATGATTGATAAAGAAATTATTGATTTTTTTTTAAATAAAATGCGTACATTTGTCTAAAACATAATGGAATAAAACGGAAGCACTTTATGTTGTTTTGTTTTGTGTGTTTGTTTGTTTTTAGTTGTTGTTTTTTTAATCATAATTAAAACCACAGTCATTTGAAGCTTGACGAATAAAAAAAAAGATATCCATATGGAAATAAAGTTTTAACAAACTTTTGTCTTGTTTACTTCGAACAGTTCGTCACGATAAAAAACGCGTCCTTATGAAGAAATACTGTTCCCCTGAAAAATACTTTGTGACCACAAGAAACTTTGTAAGTTTTGTATTGTTTTATCGGCAAATTCTTAAAGAGAATTCTTGTCGGTAAAATTGTTTAAACTTGTATAGCTGATTTAAATGTTATGCGCCTAACCGATAAGGATATCAAAGAACATTTAATAGTTTCTACAAGTCTACATTAAAAATAATTTTATGATAGCACAGTAGTTAAGCCAGTATGCTATTACATTTTCAAAATTAAATTGTCAAAAGACAATATTGCAGCTCTAAGTAAGTAACGCTTTTAGTTATATTTACATTGTGGATCATTAGATCCTCTGTATGTGGTCTATCTTTATTTCAATATATTTGTATAATTTATTTCATTTAATTTTAAACAAAGAATACTACTCGGATGATAAGTGATAGGTAAATTACAACTTAATCATGCTGAAATCACAGAATTATGTAAGTTTCCATGTAGTTTACTTCTGTTGGTTGTGATGCTATCACAGTTTCTCCACCTGATTTGTTTTATGAAATCTTACTCACCATCACATTATACGTTTTCAAGTTTTGACTCTGCTCATCGTTATGTACTTATGTATTTGAGAAATCGTTTAAAAAGCATATTTGTTTGACACTATTATAGTTTAATAAGTAATGTAATTGCTTCACAGCTACTCACAGTACTAATTATATCTGTCTTTAACAAACCTTTTCACATCATTCTGCTTATCAAACAAATCATAATGAACAGCAAGTTCCTCGGACTGAAATATTTGGTAAGAATGCATATATTCAAGTAAATCTAAATAAATAATAAATAATATTAATAATTTTCCCATGTAATAATTTCTTTTACTGCATATGTGAGTGTTTACTTGAACTATTTGCTGCTCATTTTGTTTATTGAATATTATCTCATTTGCAGGGAGAAATCTGTTATCATAACATTACAGGCTTTCTACAAAAATATCTGCAAAGTTGTAAGCGATGCGTATAATTATTAAGGAATGCATATCATGCGCTTAAGGAAAAGCTGATTAATGCTAACCAAGAAAAAGTTTTAACAACATATATTCTTGATTTTCTTTATGTTTTCTTGCTCAATAGCGAGACTGAACGCAAAGCTGTATTTAGTCCTATTTGTTAAAGATTGTATCAGAAAATAAATTTTTACTTTTTCCTTGTCATCGTACAATACTGGTATCTTTTGGAAAATTTTATTTTTATTTTTAAATAGACAATGACAAATTACTGTTAATTTTTTTATTTCAGAAACACCTTGATTCATTAACAAACACGTTCATGTATGTGTCGATTTAAAGACATTTTTACAATGCACTAATTCCTCTGAAACTGGAGTAGCACTTCGTGCATGCCGTGAAACATATTCTTATTCTATTTTCACATCCAAAGGCTTATGATTGTGTTTTTTTAAATTATGTCATTCAGAAAACAGCACTATGGCATGCCTAAAATCGGTATTATTTGATATTCATAACAGAAAATATTCGGTACTTTATTAAAATCAATACAACATTTGAATTCGAATACATACACTGTATAAGCCCTTTGTTGAAATAAATATATCATAAGCCGGCTTTTCAATTGGAGCTGCAGGATTTTGGAAATAAAGGAGAGAAAAACAAATTACCTACCCGTGAATTACATTATATATATTACATAATTCATACTGATTATGATCATTGTCAAGCTGGTGTCAAACAGATGGATATGTGACCGACTGTATTTATTTACAGTTAAAGTATACAATTTACCAAACACTTTTGGAATGTGTTTGAACTTTTTTTTCTTTTGTTAATATGTTAGTATGCTATTTGATACCATACGAGTACTTAGCGTAAACTAAAAGTTATTTAAATGCAAAATAATAGTTGTAATTTTCAAGGTACAAAGAATAAACGGTTAAAAGAATGTTATACGAAATCTGTGTCCTTTCTGTATATTTCTTGTACGAGTTTTTCTGTGTCTTTCACAATTCGAATATATATAGAATTAGGTGTAATTTCATGACATTTTCTTTCTATATCGCAATCATTAATCTCAAATATATCATCTATACAATATCAATACCTAATGTATTGCTGTCACATGACTTAGAATACGCCTTACAAAAAGAAAAAGTGTGGAAAAATGTAAACGAAAGGTTATTTAATATCTAAAGCTGAATTTAAACTCTTTTTAGTTTTTACCATATCATTAGCGTGTAACCCTATTTTAGGGGATATGGTGAGATTTATTATCAGATCCAGTAAAGAATAACAAATAAACTATTACCTAACGTCTCGGTTATCTAAATCAATGACTGAAATGCATGGAAATTTATTTTATTTCCGAGAAAAGGTTGTTTATTGTAAGTTTATTGGTTAAGTCTGCTTTATATGCGTCTCTTGCAGAAAAACAAAAGAATTTATTAACATTTCATAGCACAAATTTCCATAGAGTTGCATAACAATATACGTTTAACATCCACAGTTGTTAAGTAAAAGAACGCTTTACGTACACTGTAATGATGGCATTATGAACAATTTAACTGAGAATTATTAAAATGAAATCCCATTTTTCTACGAAAAAATATAAAACGTCGACTCAACTCATATATTGAGTTATAACATGTACATTGCAAGCATATATTTGGATAAGAACGATGTTCTTTGAAACTTGACAGTTTAGTTATTTATTTAAATACACTATGCAAACGGTAAATACCATAGTACAATCAACATGAAATATATTGAAGCGTTTACCAAAGAAAAGCATTTTAAATATTGATATGTTTTATCTATATTTTAAGCGAATTTAAAATTATTATACAATTATTGACTACTGGGCCATTATATTCACTGATTAATGTTATCACCTCGGTCAACATGACATTTAACCTGTAAATTTTGCATTAATAGATCATTAGCTTTTTGTATTATATGACTAGCCATCTTTTAAAAAAAAAAAAAAAAAAAAGTAAAGCCTAGTGAGGATAAACATAAGCGCAGTAAAATGATGGCGTCAGGCTTCCAATGGCTACGCGAACTCTGCGCAAACAAAAATATCAATATGCGGGTTGTTTTTAAAAATTATTGTGAAGTACTTGGATTTGAATCGAAAAATTATGACTTAACGATTAAATATAACAATTAATTTTAATCCGAACGCGTAGTTGATACCCTTAATCGGAACATCTCGGCTATTATCAATAATAACCTCGGGCACGAATTGAAAGTATTTCTAACCGGTGACTTTAGATGAAAACAAAAACAAAGCATGTAGTCTTCGATAATGTATAACGAATAAATATCCAAAGGAAAATAAAGTCTGATTCGGTACCATTAATATTGAATATATGATTTACAATCATAACAAGAGGGACATGATGGCCCTGAATCGCTCACCAGAAACAATAGTCATAGAACTATTTTTATCATTGAACTTGCCTAAAGTCAAGTCTAGCTCAACTTCAACTTGCCCCTCTAGATATCAGTTTCCCGAAACTGACTTTTTGTCTTCATGATAAAAAATGGAACCTTTCATGAATGGCCCAAGAGCATTTTTACTGTTCATATGGAACGTAAAGCATGTCAATTCAAGCTACTAAACGTTTTCTATTATTTTCAGCTCTTTTGGCCCCTAAAAGGGGTCAATCAAATTAATTTGAGCAAACTTGAAAAAAGGGCAATAACTAAAAATCATGCAGTATAGAGTACCAGTGTTTGTGCCGTGCACTTCAACTCAATGATATCTAACATCCTATGAAGTTTCATGTCCAGAGTTTATATAGTTTAGGAGAAATGGCCCGCACAAAAATGAAATATGAAAATTATACAAAGGGCAATAACTCAAAAAATAAGAAGTGCAGAGTACCGGTTCTTGTGCACTGCACTTCTTCTTCGACAAAAGTAACCCGTATATGTCGCCTTTTTAAAAATCATTTACTTAATTTTGCTCTTTCAAAGAAAGAAAAACAACAACAAAATTCTTCATTTCTGGGCCATAATGTCGTTTAAGACTTAATGATTATAACTGTTACAACAATTATGATGCTGTCATAGCAAAGTACTATAAAAGTGATCGATATTTACAGGGCAGGAATTATTCGGTCTTTTGTATACTTTTATCATTCATGCGCGTTGAATAAATGAAATGCTTACAGTTTTTTGTTGTTGTTTCAATGAACACCGTTGTTATTATTATTATTAAAGTATTATTATTATTTTTTTTTTTTAGTTTTTCTTTTCTTTTTTCCTGATACTATGAAAATATCATGACTGTCTTTTAACTTTTACAGTTTTTTGTTAATAAAAACCTGGTTTGAAATATGAAAATGACTTCGAATTCCCAAGTAAAGACTGTATAAAATAATCCATGACAAATAACATAATCAAAATCGTAAAACGTACCAAACTAGATTAGTTAAGCTTGAAACTTCAAGACGCATGATATTAATATTGACAACATTTGCACAATTTGAAACATTCAGTAATTTTACGATACAGATAGTTAACACTAAGGTTATTATGCTGACATGAGAAATACTTTATGAATAATTCATATTACTTTCGTAAATTTATTGCTATGCAAATAACCTGATCTAAAATATGATATAAACTACAGTTGCCAATCATCATGGCGGGGATAAAATAAAATCCTAAAATATTAGATTGTTTGAAATGTTTTATGTCTACAATCACCCTTCTCAAGCATTTTTATGGCTAAACCGCAACGGAATAGACAAATGGTGTTATAACAATCGGCTCTTGACAATGGTGCTACTTTACGAATATTCC